AACAAGTATTCTATGTTGAAGATCTCAAATTAGGTTCTGGTTGGAAAGTAGTTCAAAAAATTGAACATAGACATTTATGGGATGTGCCTGAAATAAAAGAAGTTGATATATGTGAAGGAGTTACAAATCAATGTGAAGTTGAAGAAGTGGATCTTAAAGCACATACGTTTCATAGAGTAGATATAGATCCAATTGTAATATCCGACAATATTGATAGGCTTGAGATAGTCTTAGATTTTGACGAAAATGTAGAGGAAGACATATATGAGGAGGAATAAGATGAAGAGGAGGAAGAAGATGATGAGGAGGAAGAATACGAGGATGATGCAACATCGTTTGAAGATGACGATGACGATGACGATGACGAAGACGAAAAAAGCGATAACTCTGACACGTACACATGATTGGTATATGAAATATTATTGCAATGTTGTATAATATAATCTTTTATAAATTATTAGAATGTGTTTTTTTTTTTTTTTGGCAGAGATAATGTCTTCAGAAAGCTATAATGAAGGAGCAGCTGTAGAGCATAGGTAAAACAGTGCAGTTGCCTTAGACAAACTTATAGATGCAGATGGAGGCAAACCCATACCAATTTCGTGGACCGCTGAAGCTCGCAACCCTGTGGGCTATCTCGCTAGTTTATTCAATAGTGAGATCAGTCGTCTGACGCGTTGGAATGTACCTTTAGACATTACGAAGAAAAAGAACATTTCAAATCATACATATAATACCATCATTCAATTTTTGTTGGTAAGATTTGTTATTATGTATCTATTTATCTCGTAGTTTGGTGAAATGAATGTGATGTTATCCATTTTCATTGGTTTTACATATGCAGAATAAATTTGAGGTGGACCTTCATGTTAAACATCATTATGATTATATCAAGTACGAGATCGGAACCCGCTACAAAGATTATCGACATCGCTTACATAGGTACTATCGTGATTTCGAAGATGCTAAAACGGCTCGACAACGACCCTATGGACAAATTACATCAGAAGTTTGGAATATGCTGTGTGATAGATGGGAAACTCGTGAATGGATGGTAACAAATAACTGAAGTTGATTACTAATAATTAGAAATAATGATATATATGTATTCTTGTTGTAGGCAAAGTCAGCGAGAAACAAAGTTAGTTGGAGTAAACTACCCTTTAATCATCACGCTGGCCGGAAATCATTTTTATCCCATCGCGAAGATAAGGTACGAAGTTGTTGGTTCTGATAGTATAATATATGCTTTAATTGTTATTATTATTAACTAATTTATTGTAATAGAAAAAGGTAGATGAGACGTATTTGAGTCCTTTCGAGTTGTTCTTCGCAACACACTGCCATCCGACGAAAGGTTAGACCGACGAAGCCGCTCGTATTGTACATGTAAGTACTCATTTTAATAACGTAAAGTTAATGTTAATATTTATTCAAAATTCTAACTTAATATATTTATTGTGGTAGGAAAAAATGGTGGAGTTGGTAGAAAAAGCGAATGAAGAAGATAAAGAATTAAGTGAGCAAGATGCGATGGAAATAGTGCTTGGAAAGCAATCATCGTATACGAAAGGGATGGGTTACGGTCCAAAGCCACCAAGTCAGAAACAGGCAGGAGGATACTCTCAGGAATATGTTCATGCCTTGGAGGATAAACTGGCAAAAAATGAAGAGTTATTGCAAACTCAACGCCAGGAAACCCAGAGGTTGTTTGAAATGCAACGTCAAGAGTATGAAAGAAAGTTTGACAGTATAGAAGAACTTTTTCGAAGATTTACTGAAGGAGGAGGAAGTTCATCGTTGAACAAGGTAAGAAAAATTGTAATTTATCTATGTTTGAGTATGTGTATTTCATGAAGTCGTAGATTTTGAATATGATATTATTTTGATACTGTTCTTGGATCTTGATACTTTGATGTGTTGATTGTGGGTGTTGCTGCTTACACAATTGTTGGGAGCTTGAAACTTTGATATTGTAGTTTGGTAAGGTGGAGTGTGCATTTGTAAGAATGCATTGATGTTGGAGATTGAAATGTGGG